TTTTTTTTTTTTTTTTTTTTACTTTAGATACTAACATAAATCCATAAATCATCCCATAACTTATAATTATTCTTATAATGATTAGAACCATCTTTTCTTGTCTAAGAATGATCACTTATTGAATCTTGAGCATTTATGGCTCAGAGTTATTCTTATGTGCACTAGTGAGGATCAACACGAACCACAATTTGTACATATCTCATGAACTTTCTCAGGATGGAAGGTTCCGATATTGTATATATTCTGTGCATCCTTACTTCTATTTCCATGCAAATCTTCAATATACCATTGATTCCTAATTTGTCACCATAAACTCTGAGATGGACTTTTAATCTCATTTAAATGCAATGCCCGTACTTCATACTCCTTCACTCTGTTAAATTGATGCTTTTCTCATCTTACTTCTATGTCCTTACTTAACTCATTTCGCATTTCCGCCGGGTATCACTTCAATTCAATAGTGCAACTTTCTTCTCCATGTCCAATTGTATTCATATTTTCACCTCTAATTCATCATTGGTCCGATATTGTAGCTACAAGTCATGTCTCTTCATTTGGTGTTTAGGGGAGTCGTTTACCTTTTTCTCGGATCATCAGACTCTCTCAATAACACAAATTCTTATGGTATAACTTTACATATATCCAGCATTCAACACAATATTAAACCTCAAAATTTAAATCTTGTTCTATACATTCCAAACTTATACCATATTAATCCCTCAACGGTGCTTACCAATTCATATAGCTTTCATACTAGGCTCATCAAGAGTTAATAATCGATTTCATCCTTTAAAATATCAACCATACTTTTTTATAACCATAGTACGTTATCATGATTCCACTGATTAGTCATACATTGAAAATAGCTTGATGACACACCACCAATTATACTGACTCCACAAATAGAGTAGTTTCTCTAAATTAAATCACTTCGTCAATAAATGACTTCAAATAAGACTTAGTAGTTCTTATGAAACAATAAATACATCACCCATTTCTTAGAGCAATCCAAATTCAAAATCTTTCATCATTAATGATAATTTATGTAACTACCCACCAATGAAATATATGGTATATTGGTATTCTATCCCAGCAAATTTGCTTATCTCAATAGTCATATTAGATTTCCTATAACCACAAATCATCACACAGAATACCTATTCTTAACTAGATTCTAATGTCCTTTATATCGAATCAGGTTATGTTTTCTTATTAGATAAGACTAGCACTGCTCTCAACATCTCCTTCCATGGCACATGTTAAACACATATTCATTGCATTTTTGGCTAGTGCATTTCCACATTTCACATCGATTTAAACTCCCTACGACTTACTTTATAATCTTAATCATGCATAACTTAACATAGCTTTGTGCCATACACAACCATACAATGGTTCACTACATCTTTAAATCTGTATATCTTTGTTATGTTATGTTTACGTCATAAACCAATTATACTTCACAGTTATTGAATCTATACCCAGTACTTATTGGTCATTTTTATAAAAAAATAATTCCTTTTCAATTTATCAAAACTTTTAGAAAACCACCCATTTCCGCAAAATTTATATTGTTTTTTTATTTTTTTTCAAGTGTGTTTCGAGAAAAGAAGAATTTCCTCGGCAAATTCATAACTCTCGATGTGTCCATAAGGAGCAAATTATATTTTTCTTCGTGGACCGGCAACATTGAAACTAAATCACTTTGATTTACAAGTCATTTCACAGCCATCCCACTCATTGGATAAAATGGAAATCACGTTCTTAACAACATGCTCCTTACTGGCAACATGATGAACTCATATCACTCCGAAAGTGCCAGACACCCTAATGGCTCAACATATTTTCATCTCAATAACCTTACATCGACTTCCCTTCCACTATTCTTAGATTACCCTCTATGGAACAGTGATTCTAAAGGATATAACCAGTAATTCATCAATAGGAACTCAATATATACTCCGCTTACCACGACACTTATTCTCAATGGTGGTTGTTTCCTACCAATATGGCATGTCTTTAACTTAAATCTACTCATTTGATCTCATGTAAAAAGATAACCTTAAATTATAATGCCAACATTTATAGTCTGAGAACCGCCGTAAACCTAGGCTCTAATACCAAAAATTGTAACCCATTCCCGGTTCCACCCCGTTGTCAGTTAACCCGAATGAACCGAGCCGAGACTGCTTAAATTGGTGTTATTGACTTATATCCTGTTCATGCTGAATATTCATTACTATATGCAAAATAAGAATATAAACACTCCCAGTTCACACTCTGAATTTAACATTCCAAGAAATATTCCATACACAATCTAACCCTTTATAGTAAATATTCTTTACATAATTGTATAATCCTTCAAAAGCATGTTATATCTAGAATTAGATTTCATAAGAATCTATTAATCAAGTTTTTTCAGTGAACCTTAATTAACTAACTATAGATAACTAATTTTCTAATCTCATCATTTTCTCTTAAATATTATTTCTATTCTCCACTTACTACACCAAATTAGATTACATGTTTAACTTATATTTAAATCACATAATAGCTCTAAATTAAAAGATTATACTGCCTGATAAATCTTAATAATTGCCATATATTCTTAATCTATACCATCTCTCAATTATTATGGACCAATTAAGACTTCTGCTTTGATAGGGACTCCTCAAGTCTTCGAAGTAGCAACGCCACGATCTATTCAACCTTGCGCGTTTGCATTGAAAAATCGACGCGGTCTGGAGTATAAACTCAGTGGTTCTTATAAACTCATCATTACTTAATAAAGGTGCCTTTGAGATGGCAACTAACTTCAAATACCAATTTCATAAAGCATTTGATACTCATAGAATCAGTAATTTTAAGCATGAACTTGTCTTCTTTGTTAGCACCACGAATAATCTTTATCAATAAACGATAATTAATCTACTGTCTCTCATAAAGATTCCTTTTATATTGAACCTTATTATTCACACATTATTGATTCATATCATGGTCTTACCTGTTGTCATTGTGTTGTTCTGGCTTGATAATCAAAATAAATATGTATGGTAATTAAATGATATATTTTTCCAATTTCTTACTTTGCTGTTCATTCTGTTGTATGACTGATGCACTTTAGTCACAGATAATAAGGTATGATTAACTCACATTTCATAACTGTATTTATGGTGCTCACTATAAGAATTAAACTTACAAATAAATTCTGTAAGCATATATACATTTGATCACTTTATTAATCTTACACTGATGTTCTTTATGTTGTATGAAACTCTGGCAAATTTGATTAAACTCAGTGAATATCACAATGAATGAAGAAAGCTATATAAGCACATACTATATTGTAGAACTAAAATTTACTACATTATGGGAATGTAAGCACACCATTCATTCGATCACTTCTCATTTTGCCCTTAATGATCTTTGTGCTGTTTTATGTATCTGTATGATATATTGGAATTTGTAGTTCGATTATAACTGTATAGCTCATAAGTGTTATGTTGAAACGAGTATAGGAAAACTGTATGAAACTGTATGCTTGGTGCTTGGCCTTGTATAATCATATCATCAACGGCCTGTAGGCCGGAGTTCCCAAATGTATGGGCGCAGATATGCTATTCTAGTCGCGACATAGCTTATCTAATGGTTTCTACCTTAACTCAATGGAGCTTAAGATTAGATGTCAACAATGACACAATAGCACATTAAATGGTTTTCACGAACGTCATAGTTCATCATATTGATTATGATTTTCACACTATATAACATGCTTACATGTTGGTTTTTAATCCATGTTCTTATGTTGGTATTTTTTGTTGTAAAAATATTGGTGATGCGATTGTGAGCAAAGGATGTAATTATAGAAGACGAAAAGAGCAAAAGAGCGTCACAGCATAAGTCGCGAGCGCGCTTGCAACATCGCGAGCCGCCGCGAGAATCGCGACCTTGCGAGCTCAGGGGTTTCTGGCTCAAGTCGCGACGGGGTATGTGAAGTCGCCTGAGCGCCGACTTGTGCATCCTGAGAGTCAGTGTGTTTCTGGCTGAGTCCTTCCTGCGACTCCGCCACAGCACATCAGTCGCGAGGCGCGGATGATAGTCGCTGAGGGCTTGTGTTGATTCGCGGCAGCCGAGATGCGCACAGCTGAGAGTGCTGTTGGCCAAAGTCGCGAGCCGCGCATGTGAAAGCGCGCGCGACTTAGTTTCCCAGACCGCGCGTCAGCGCCGCCCAGATTGTGTTCTTTTGGCATACTCTCATATAACAACTCCAAAACGTAAGAGATACACATACGGAATACTAATGGACAATCCCTAGGTTCCATCATAAGGTTCAAATCAAGATGAAGTTGGTGTAAATTCCAGCAATCTGGTTCTACATTCGTTTTCTCCTCACATTACATTCACATCTATACTCATTAACCAACACATCCACATTTCTCTGATAAAACTAAAGACTGCACCACCTTTTACGCAATAGCTTAAGTGCCTATACCCATCCTT